CATCGCCAAGTTTGTATCTCGACCAAAGTCATAAGATTTTACCCGAAATGTTTATCCGAGATATCAGAGAAGATATTGAAGGATTGATATCAGCGAAGCTAAGATCGAAGAAGCAAAAAGACTGAAGAAACGTCGCTTTCGAATTGATAGATAGTTATGAATTTCCTGTGAAAGACAACAGTGTTGATCTCATCACATGCGCCACTTCCATTCATTTTCTTGACCTGCAATTACTTGAAAAAGAATGTGATCGAATTCTGAAACCTGGTGGATGTTGTGCTGTCTATACGTTTAATTGGGGAAATATTACAGAATTCCGCGTTAGAGGAACTGATTGGGGACAAAAGAGGGTTTTATTCGATTTGATTGCTACTGATTTCTGTGCCATTGTGAAAGCACATCCTAATATTTTTGCGGTAGTACAAAGAAATCGGCCAATTTATGATCAAATCCAGAATTCATCTAAATTATGGCTCCAAGAAATTGTACGTGAAAGAGAAATGACGCTTCATCAACTCAAAAATGTTTTTCGCACTTTGGGTGACTATGTCATTTTCATGAAACAAGAAAAGCCAACTAAAGATCCTCTTGAGATTTTTGACTGTAACATAAGACAAGCGCTCAATCTCGGAAATGTTTTGTCAGATGACGATATATTTCTAAAAGTTGAAATGGTGTACCCCATTTTTGTGTTTACAAAGCATATTGCTTTCGAACTAGACGATGTTTTATGAACGAAATTGACACTAAAGATTATGTAGATTTTTCATGTGACTGAAAAAAAAAACTGTATATACCAAAGTATACTATAAAGTATAAGTCAATGTGTCACCTTCGCTGAAAAGTCATTTGATTATGGGCCAAAAGTATTTCAAACATAAGCTGACTGGTCAATATCAGCAAAATATTCACGGTTTATGAGCAGAGTTATTTACAATTCGGAATCTGATTTGAAAATAATAAGCGTTGTATATACATTGCATCTAATCTCAACAAGAAGTCTGTGTTTAGTTAAGGCAATAAACTATTTGAAAAGAAATTATAGGAGGTTGAAATGCCTGGTTTTATGAAAGGTGATTTAATAGCATTTATTTCATTTTTCGGTATAACCTTACAAAATTATTTCCATAGGCGAGATAAAAAATTTCAGATCGCTGACAAACGGAGAGATACTGAATTGGAAGTAAAATAAACATAAATCTAAAATATTGCATCTATTTCAGCTAAATTTTTTGGAAAAAGCAATGTTCCATAAGCTTTCCAAAAATGAAAATCTGAATATACAACTCAAATTACGAGATTATACAATCAATCAAAATTGGAATAAAAAGCGAGGTCGACTTCTGATTACGTAAAATTTCCGAGACCTAATGAGTTTTTTGTTATCTGATTTTCGGGACCTAGAAGCGCGTATCTGTGGTTATGTAATCTCAGCAATATTCAATATAAAAGTTGGTGTTAATTATTTGATAATAAACAGCTCTCATGTGAAAATGTTAATTTGAACAAAGGATATTATTTGTCTTGAAAATTTGTAAATCCAACAAAATAACTGCAGATGAACAGTGTGTGAGAATAGGGATCCTTGTATTGTTGCATGTGCAGCTATGTTATTGAATCAATGTATCATTTTTTGAAGATACTTTTAATCATATATTTGACTATATACCAACGACTATTCTAGTTTAATTTTCTTCTTCTTCAACTTTTGGGTTTGTTTTCAATGTAGATCTTTTTTCACACTTTCGTTAAATAACAAGAATGGGACTTCAGTTTTCTCTTTTTCTTTTACAGTTTGATTTTTCACCAAGATTTCGTCATCACGTATTCAGCTTACCAGAGAAATGTGGTTGAACTGATATACAATCACTAAAAGGCACTCTTATCGCGATTTAACATGATCTCAATCGCATGAATTCAGTTTACAATCCTAACTAAATTCACTCATATCATACAACCACTGAGATCACATACCAAAGTAGCACCGAAAAGTTGATTTAGTTTAGACATTAGTGCGCTCGTAGTAGCTTGTAACTCATAATGCAACTTTCCTAGCGACTCGAAAGGCTTGTTAGCGACAAGACTATTTTAGTGTCAATCTAGCTAAGATTTTTCTCTTATTAACGTCACGGCTCGAGAACCAGAGACTACAGTCTAGTAAAGTCTCTCGCATAGTGCTAAAACGATCTTTTTAACGACACAATGATGATGTTCCTGGCATTCTTGGACAATGAGATATGATGAAAATTATAAAGGGGTGTCAAAAGTCCCTGAGGCCACACATTGGATGATTTCAAGTAAACCTCACCTGAAAAACAGGTCATCGCAAAGGATTTTTGATGATGTTTTGTCGGTCCATATATGCTAATACTATCACAGAGCTCACTTTACAGTAGTATTGTAGTTACATAACAACTAATTTGGAAACGAGAATATCGGTCGGAGACCGAAGACTTATCGATCGAAGCGGCTGTTTCGATTCATGACTCTATAGTGACACCGCGTTTCCTATCACAAATCAATTAATAACTCGCTAATTATACGACATAATTCATCCAAAATCAATAGGCTTATGGTCCAAGATATAATGAATGCACATGCAAGAGTGAACGGGGGACTGGCAGGTCTGAGACGGTCTACGAATAAGCAATATATATACTGGAACATATCACTTATTACTTATCGATCTTAAGATTGGTAAGTATGTTGATAGGTATTTGTCTGTCTGTTTGTTACTTATCGATTTTAATCGGTAAGTGTGTTGATAGGTATTTGTCTGTTTGTTTGTCTTCTGTCTGTTAGATGCACGCGATATCTCACGAAAGCGAGATTGAATCTACTCCAGATTTTGCATGTGCATTCATCATATGTCGGACCAGAAGCCTATTGCTTTCTGGACGAATTATGTCGTATAGTCAGCGAGTTATTATTTAATTAGTGATGGGACACAAGGTGTCACTAGTGAGTAAGAGCGCTGTTTTGGGGGATCCCCTAACTTTTGATCAATAAGTCTTCGGTCTCTGACCGATATTCTCGTATCTCTGTTAGATGAACACGATATCTCACGAAGGCGAGGTAGAATCTGCTTCAAGTTTTGCATGTGCATTCATCATATCTCGGACCAGAAGCCTACTGATTTTGGATAATTTATGTCGTATAATTAGCGAGTTAATAATTAATTAGTGATGGGACACGCGGTGTCACTATAGAGTCATGAATCGAAACCGCAGTTTCGATCGATAAGTCTTCGGTCTCCGACCAATATTCTCGTTTACCATTTTATTTGCTATAGTATAATGAATTTTAATTAGATAACATTTTTGTATTATTTTCCATTACTGATGAAGACTTTTTTATGAATTTCTATCATAAATATGAGTCACAGATCATTGGTACTACACATCTTGTGAAGCTTTCATAGAATCAAAGTCAGATTGCTCCTTATAATGTAGTTGACAATGGGAAATATTTCTCCCAGTGTTTGTAGTTCTGCATAGAATCTTATACGGTTCTAGCTCTCGTAGGATTTTCTATTAAAAAGTTGACGATAAAAGCATGCGCATAGGGGCAGTTAAGTGTAAAGTTTGTACTATCCTTCACTGATTCTATGCTCGATCATATGGAATAAACACTACGAGACACATTATTACAGCATTTAATCAAATCCACAGATAATTCAAATCATTCGTGGATATGAATGTTCAACTACACATGAAACAAAATTTATGCAGAAATTCCATATTTTTAAATTTTCAGAAATCCGTTCCTCCATAAAGACGATAATCTCTGCAGTCGCATCCACACGGTGTCTGAAATTAGTTTAGAATTTTAGAACCATTTTAGTATATATATGTATATCATTGAAAATAGAAAAATAATTTGAGAATCCATTCGATTTCATGATCAAGTCAGTATTTCTTAGCCGATGGTTCGCATGAAAACCCTCATAGGTCAGTTGTTTTTTCAAGGAAGACTCGGAAGTTTTTCATTCATTTTTTAGTATTTTTTATTGTTTATTGAAGATTTGGTATTGAAGTGTTGCTCAATAGTAATTATATATATAAGTATCACAGCGTAAAATTTGACAGCTTCTATATTTCTACGTAAGTAAGTATATTTCTACGATCAGGATTCAGTTTTGCGGGCATAAAAGCACTACGTGCCATTTAGTATATGAGCATTTCTTTGGGGTCGCGAGATTTCACAAATTTAAGTTTTTAAAATATTGAACTAATCAATCATGATAAGTACAGGCCTTTAAAACAACATTTCCTTTGTTTAACTTTCCGTTTTCCTCGTAGATTGTGCGTATGTCACGGAAGCACCAAATAGTGAAACATTCACACGACGATTTTTCGACATCTTTTTCTGGCGTATGATACCATTTAAATATTTTCTTCGGAGGTTTCGGATAAAAATGTGGTTTCCCATCTTTTGGTGTTTCCTTGTGATCATGGAGTTTTTCAAACTTACAGCTTGCTTTCATTTTTCTTAAAAATATATTTATTCACATCATGATCATATCCTAAAATATGACAATTTTTAAAAATTTCGCTCGTAGCGTAAATACACATTCATAGGGTATTTTGAAATACAATTCAGGTGAACTGAGCATTTTTCTTTATTTTCAATGGCCTGTCACTATTTCTATTAAAATATCCATATCCACTTGTTGTTAATTCCACCCTTTTTTTTTAGTTTTCATTACAAAAAATATTTTACACAAAACGCTTGGTCATATTGAGGACATTGTGTATTCATATCGACCAATATTATTTTTAAGATAATCATAATAATGTCGAATCATATATTTTAACATAGGTATTCAATTCTCCTCTATTAATATATGTCTCTATTAATATATGTCTTGATCTATTAATATTAATTAACAAAGAACTTACTTGCATTCAACTGCAGCGTGGGGGAAAGGCTTATATAATCGAACTATCCTTCTGCAATTTGTTGAATCGTAGAAGGATTTCAGAATACATTCTCTCTCGTCGCAACCAGTACCCCAGTGACCAGTGAAACCTTTTGGGACAGGACATGAATCTTTCGAGTGAGGAAATTTCCTGTGCATGAAATCATTTCATTATGTGCTCTACGAAAAATGTAAAATATCATTTTCATTATGAAAAATAGTCACTTTTCTTGATAGGATGTCTTTTTGAAATAAATATAAAATATGTTTATACAATAATTTATGTTGTTGTTCAATCTGAAGATTCTGATGATAGTATACTGATCTATACTTGCCTGCCAAGATATGGTAATTTTTATTTGAATGCGTACGTCAATTAAATATTAAACAAATGCGTAGGAATATAAATTTTATGTGGTCCAACGGCAATATAAACAACTTCAAATGAAGAATACAAATTACTTGAACTTTCTGCATTCTGGAGTGTTTTTAAAATCAAGTCCGTTTTCTTTCGGAAATTCAAACTTTCTTGCAAGGTCCTCCGTAAACTGAAAATGGGATTTGAATATGAAATAATTTTTTTCGTGTTCAATTATAATAATCGTCGTATTGACCTCGGTATTTTAGTTGGTACTATACCGCACGATAACTAAATACAAAACGTACAAACTGGCATACCTCAGGATCGAATGTATCATAGAAATCTACAAGACTGACTTCATTCTCCCACGTTTTTCCTCTCACTCCAAAAAAAAGTATAACGAAAATTATCAACTCCATTGTTCAATATGTTGTTTTACACAAGGTTCTGAATAATAAGAAAATCGTAATTGAATATTTCTGATTTTAAACCTACATTTTACGACTCAAATGCGAGAAAAACTCTATATCAAACGAAATCGACCAATAAATTATCAATAGTAAACAACTTTTATCAAATATTATTTTTATGACAACTATATATGTTCCATTTTCTCAACACATTTTGAAGTGAAAAGATTTATTTCTAGTTAGTTCAAAAATAACTATTCTCGATCGGCCATTGAAACGATTGGTTCTTGTTATCATACAAAAATCATTAAGTTGATCCAAATCGGCGAAGGAAAGATTTAATATTGACGAAAAAAGAGACGTGGGCCAATCAGAGATCGTGCATATTACTCATATTAGGTTGTAAATAAAAAAATAAGGTTGATTGTTCGTTGAAACTTTCATTACGTAAGTCTTAAAAACCACTTTTGTTATCTAGTTGTTGTGCAACAAACAGCGTTATTGTGGTTATGAGGTTTCTTAAACTTATATACAATCAATTCAAAATAAATATACAGCCATTCGGTAGATATACAGGGGAAGCCAATGTATACAGACATTCTATATATAAAATGCATTTCTTTCAAGAAAGTTACATATACAGCAATATTCTATATAATATACATATTCTCAATATACATTCATTTGAGGGATTTACATACAAGAGTCAATGCGCTATTCATATACAGTCAAATCATACACATATACAGACAATGTCATATGCACATATAAGACAATGTCATTAGCATATAAACATCGAGTACCCACGTCTCGTCACTTTGTGACAAAGAGATCATACAGGTCACTGGAAAAGACAATTATCAAAATAAATACACAAATCGGTCATGTGATTGTAAACGTTTTAGTCTAATCATTTGTCATTGTCTAACATTTAATATATCGAACTGAAAATAAAAGTTTTAGGATCTCCTCGCAATTCTTGATAAATTATTGTTCGACCGACACAGGCAGGAAATACAACATTTGAGGAATCATTCTTTGCGTATATCCACTTCCGCACAATCTTTCATATTTTAGATCAATCACTGTTACAGGTGTATTCAGTCTCGGTTTAGTCTAGTTCATGTTTAATAATAAAACTCGGAATTAACATATCCCGATAACCTTCTCAAAAAAAGTTTTGATCCATTGGATATTGAAAACGCATATAGCATTAATTTCATTTTCTTTTTTTGCCTGCATAAACTTTCAATGTTATTTCAATATGCGAGATAAAAATCACCAGTTCTCTGACAAATGGAAGGATACTAAATTCGGAGTAACATAAAACTATCTACTTGAAAAATATTGCATTTATTTCAGCTGGATTCTTTGGCAAAAGCAATCTTTCTTTAGCTTCTCAAAAGTGAAAATCAGAATATACCACTTAAACTACTAGATTATATAAGCATCAGAATTGCAATAAAAAGCGAGGTGGTCGACTTCTGATTACGTAAAATTTCAAATGTAGATTGAAATCACTTGTGCCTTTTCTGGAGTTCATAAGACTCAATTAAAGAGTTTTTTATGCTTTGGTTTTCGTGCGCTTAGCAGCGCGTATCTGCGGTTATGTAATCCAAGCAATGTGAATATAAAATCTGGTATTATTTATTTGATATTAAACAGATCGCATGTGAAAATGTTAATTTGAGCAATGGAAATTATTTGCCATGCAAATTTGTAAAACCAACCAGATAAAGGCAGATAAGCAGTGTAGAAAAAAATATTCCAGTTTAATTTTCTTTTTGGTACCTTTTTGCAACTTTCGGGTATGTTTTCTCTGTCGATCTTTGTTCACATTTTTCTTAAAAAACAAGGATCAGACTTCAATTTTCTCTTTTATAAATACAGTTTGATTTTTCCCCAAGATCTCGTCATTAAACCGTCTTGTATGTATTCATATTACCCGAGAAATATGATTGCACTGACATACGAACGCTAAAAGGCACCACTCTTATCGCGATTAAAGTATCGTAGAATTAATTAATTGTCTGGCAAGTAATGGTGTATTAAAGTATGAAATCTCATGAATACAGAAATGCGGGATGAGATATTATCAGATAATAAACACACACAAGCGTCAATGAGGTTCACATATTTGTGAAAAAAAATTACAAACAAAATACCAAAGGCCCAAATAGTTACTCCGTTCGGTTTTACGGAAAATGTCTAAAATTAAATGTTATTTTCGAACAATATTTTACTGCCTAGTTAATTTTAAACGCGCATTTCACCTAGATTGGCAGACAAGATTGTTGCGCTATACTCAAAATAGTCTTGTCGTTAACAACCAATTGATTTGCTAGGAAATTTGCATTGTGAGTAGCAAGCTACTAAGAATGCACGCAAAGGATTTTTGTGCTGATAATGTTTGTCGATCCGTGTATACTGATTACAGAGTTCACTTTGCAGTAGTATAATAAATTTCAATTGGGTAACACTTTTGTATTATAGTCTTATACGGTTCTGCCTTCCTCGTAAGATTTTCTATTAAAAAGTTAAACGATAAAAGCTTGCGCATACAGGCAGTTAAGTGTCAGGTTTGAACTACCCCCCACTGATTCCATGCTCCATCATAAGAAATAACTAATAAGCACTACGAGACACATTATTACTGCATTTAATTTAATTCACAGATAATTCAAATCATTTATGGATATGAATGTTCAACTTCAAATGAAACAAAATTATGCAGAAATTCCATATTTTTGGATTTTCAGAAATCTGTTCCTTCACAAAGACGATAATCTCTGCAGTCGCCTCCACACGGTGTCTGAAAATAGTTTAGAAGTTTAGAACCATTTTGATATTATTAATATTACAAATAGAAGGCTCAAGACAATCAAGCATCGGATATGCGAAATAATAGTGCTTAAATAAAAGCGCAGTAAAATCCAAAGGATCTACGATTACGCCACGATCTCAAAAACTTCCAGCTGACAGACCAGCAAATCTTTCTCACTTTGAAGTAATTTCTGCTAAAATAAATGTTTTGTAAAATTGCTCGTTTAATAATTTAATTTTACGACCCCAAGAGCACTGCGTGAGCTTATCTTTGGTGTCAAGTGATTTTACAAATTTGAGTTTTTAAAATATTCGGGTCGATTGAATAAGCATTGAACTAATCAATTACGATAACTACGAATCTTCATAACATCTCCTTCGTATAGCTTTCCGTGTTGGTACATTGTGTGTATTACACGGAAGCACCAAATAGTGAAACATTCACACGATGATTTTTCGACGTCTTCATCCTATTCATGTCGTAGGATACAATTCAAATTTTTTCTTCGGAGTTTCCGGATACAAATGTAGTTTCTCATCTTTTGGTGTTTCCTTGTTATAACGGAGTTTATAAGCTTACAGCTTGATTTCGTATTTTTTAAGTAGGCCACGAACCACCGATACTAATCTTTTTATACTGTGGTATAAGGTATGGTATTTCCTTTTCCTGAAAAAATAAAGAGAGTTAGCGGAATACCATGGCATGTTTAAGATTCTGGAATGTGGATGGAATTAGGAATGCTAAATAAACCTGGGTTAACCAGCATTATTTTGCTGCCAAGTCTGTATTGAGGCTCTTTATGCCACAATTGTGTGGGATTAACAAGCGAGACCAGTTGATTGAATCGTTCATCCTGGCAAGCAACTATTATGGTGTTTGTACAAGGAACACCCATTCCACCTATAGATTCATCGTTCCGGGGGATTCGCCTGCCTAAAACTTCCATGGGCTCAGAGGTCCAGAGAAAAGAAAATATTTCCCTATCTATATATTTAATTGTGTGAGGTGGTATTTCTACCGACCTCGCACTATAGATGAATTGAGACAAGATCAGGGAATTGATTACCAAGATCTTGCCGTGCCAAGATAGAGATCGGGTTCTATCAAAGTTAATATTGTTTTCTATTTTGGAGATTTTTCACCCCAAGTTAAATTGACTCGGTTCCTTCCAAAATGATTACCCGGGATTTTTATATGATCTTTTACAAATACATAATAGGGCAAATAAGAAATCATTTCTTTCGCCCTATCGTTTGTACAAAGAACGGTGTTTTTAGCTTTATTTATTCCTGAAAAATAGCATCGATCGAGTATATGTCCGACACAATAAAGTTTGTGTCGTACGGATACTGAGCTAGTTTATGTGTGTAATTACCTATTCTTATGCATTTAATCCTGTTTTTTGTCGTTATAAGACGGCTAAGCGGCTCCACATTGATGATGTAGATGCGGTGTTTCCAGACCTTCTTTCACCCACGTACCATTGCGAGGTTTTATGTATATGCAATGCTCGCGTACCACCTACAAAAGTTACGCGCGTCGAAGACAGTCAAAATTTTCCCATCTTTTATGACGTACTCACAGCGCATTTTATCTATGTGAGGTGTAATAACAAATTCTATCAAACTAAGCAGCATGCATAGACGCAATCATTAGAGATAAGAATCTACGCTAGCACTCTCACGTAGAAGGGCAAATTTGCAGTTGGGGAATAGCGTGAGAAGTCAGCGACGAGTTCGAAGAGACCATGTTAAGCCAGAAGTTTATCGGTGGGCAATCTTTGTGTTTTGTCTTTGCTGTTCACAAATTAGCTAAACAGCCGACTATTTAAAGCTGAATCCTAACCTGAGTTCAGGTTGTGCGCCATCTTGGCGCGCATACTTCAGGAGGTCCAAATTTACTATTTTGATAGTGCAGTTCAAGCACGATAACAACTTCAGTGGAAGCACTGATCATTTCGAGTAATATCCGAGATAACTATGATGAACCATGTCAAACGCCTTGAGAATATCAATAGAAATATGAAATAAAGAATTTCTGGGGCTTATGAGGCGTTGGGTCAAGAGTTTTGTTATGACGTTGTAGCCGACGTTTAGATTTGAAATAGGTGGCCAATTTTTTCACAAATCTAAAGCGTCGGCCTTCTTATAAATTGACACTTACTATTGCTAACAAGACAACGAAATCGCCTTTCTATCAGTAAACGGGGTGATTTAAGATTGTGACTGACGAAAATGTCACCTAATAATAAATAAAACTTGCTGAAGAACACCAAGCTCTTTAAAAAACACTATAAATATTATTTGTCTTCTTATTTGGTCAGTAATGTAATCGTTTCTGACTTCACATTTTTTGTAGTGCTGGGGGGGCGAAGAAGTTGTAAAAACTACTGTAGGGGGGCGATAGTACAAAAAGTTTGGGAACCACTGCTGTATATGATTCGCAATTAAATATACAGTTCACTTGTTACATAGTGGGTTTTACAATATAAGGAGGTCATTACTTGAAATAGACTAGAATATTGATTACACAATTGAATATAGCCTACATTTCATCACTTATTACACAATGAATTTTAACAATATAAAAGGTTATAAAGTTAATTTATGAAATAGAACCAAGGAAAAAAAGAGACAGTGACAATCACTGAATACTGTAGGCTATATTGGCTACCGACATTCATAAGTACCTATTGATACATACTTGAGAAATGAAATGTTAATACATGATCCACAATTAAATAAGCAATTAATAAAGGTATTTATCACTTTTTACACAATGATTTTTAACAATATAAAAAGAGGTGCTCCCGAAGTATGCGAACCAAGATGGCGGACATCGGAACGTAACATGGGTAACAGGTTAGGGTTAGGCGATTGATTGGTTATTGAATTGATTTACAACATTCATAAGTATTGATCGGTATGTTAGTCGTTGGTATTGATACATATTGAAAAAGAACTGAAATATTAATATATGATCCGCAATTAGGTATGCACGGTATGTTAGTCGTTGGGTATGCATGATTAAATATACAGTTCCCTTGTTACACAATAAGTTTAACAGTATAGGAAGATTATTTTAAGACTGGAATATTACTGTATGATCCATAATTAAATTGTTGGTCATTAATGGACCTTTCCCCGAGCATCGACTTCTTTGTTTACTTCGTGACATTGGCCAATCAGCAAGATGCAAAAAGTGACGTAACAAAGCCCCCTTTTCGCATCCGCTCAGACACTTTTCGCACTCAGACATATTTTCAAACGTGGTTGTAAACATTACCTCGTTTTCGCGTTTTTGAACTCTATTCGTTAGTTTTCAGTTGTGTTTCGGAAAATTAAATAAAAATCAGATAATTCAATGATCACTCTGTCTTCCTAGGAGTTTTAATTTAATTGCAGTAGCCTAATAAAAATTAGTGTAGAAATACCGGTAGCTGTGATAGACTAGCCTGAAATTCTTTACCGGTAGGAAACTTTTAATAAACAGATTGTTGTGTGCGATGAATCATAATGATGGTTTGAAACACATACCGGTACCCCATTTTACAGGTGCCAACTCGCAAAAGCACTCCTAAAATAGTACTGAAAATTTTGCAATGGTAAAGTACCGTATAGGAGGAATTTCCGGGGGTTAAAGGTCCATGGGATTTGGAATCTACCCAATAAAATAACACTCTGAATACCGATAGGCCTACCACTGAAGTGAAAAAACAGGAGGCCACGGGCCATACGGTAGAAGGTCGAGAACAGCACTACTGCACTGTCATATAGCATAACGTAATCTCCAGCTGGCCGGTTGGTTTTCTTCACCTTACACGATTGGGGGTAGTTTATAGCGTGAATATTGTCGTGGTTGAGTTAGCTCATTTAATGGATATGATGGGATTTACATATTTATCCCGGGGGAGAGATAGGCAGATAAGACGGCTTATCCTTATCCATATGGCGAACCACAGCCTCTCGTCCGGTTACCATTCCAAGTCGGGTATGGGATTACAGGATTAGTTACGGTATACCGGTATTGTTTGTTTTCGGAAGCATGAACTTGGTGGTGGAGGAAGCCGTGACCGACCAGCGGTTACGTGA